TACCCTCAAAGGTACAAATTGGTACTTGTTTTTCTCAGAAAAAGAAAGACAGATGGATATTTCACCAAAGAGAAACACTTACACACTCTTTGAGGAGCCGTACACCACCTTCCTAAACGGAATACATGTCATTCACATTTATTTTTATTTAGTAGACGCTTTCGTCTGAAGCGACGTGTAAGTTAGGCAGATAATAATGAGTCAACCAGGCATAAGTGCAGCTAGGCTGAGCTTCCAATGACCGCCCAGGTATAAGAGTAAGCGATATTGGAACAAGAGCTACGCAGCATCTTTCAAACAATGTAAAAGCCTAATAAAACTACAATTCAATGAATAGAAAGTGCAACGATAACATTCTGGGAACATGAGATTGGTATCGCTCAACAGGAAAAACAGAAGTAGCCCAACCATGAGAAACAAAGGTACCAAACTCCAAAAGGCTTTTACGCAAGGCCAGCTTTTTTTTCTGTATTCAGCCTTATGTTCTACTAATAAGCTATACTTAGATAGCAAAAAAATAACACGGTACACAGAGTAAATGATAAAAAGTCAGCAGAAGCAGTCTTTCACAGAGTGGTGAGTGGTGAGTGGTGAGTGGTGAACGGTGAACACCCCCCCCCCCCTTTCACTTAGGTACTCTGCCTCTCTGGGAGGCTCTTTTTATACCCAATCATCTTACTGACCTGTTGTCAATTAACCTAATTAGTTGCAAGATATTCAACCAGGTGTTTTGTCTTAGCATTGCATAACTTTTCCAGTCTTTTGCTGCCCTTGTCCAAACTTTTTTCAAACGTGTTGCTGCCACATTTTTCTCATAAAACAATCAAATTTCTCAGCTTCAAAAATTCATATGTTGTCGTTGTTCTGTTTTCAATTAAACATGGGTTTGTATGATTTGTAAATCATCGCATTTGGTTTTTATTTACACAGCGTCCTAACTTTTTTGGAAGCAGGGTGGTACCTGCTTTTACAGACCAAGAGTATGATTCGGTTGGATGTTTGAGAGGAGAGCATTTGTTTAATATTCCAGCTCTGCGGATCTGAGAAATCACGCGGGACCCCAAGGTCAGACTCTGCAGACTCAGATAGACACCACCTAATTGTTCCATGGAAACCCGGACTATGCTGTCTGCTAAGGCGGTTTCATGGTGGCTTAATGCCATGCCAGAAAAAGGGAGGAAGCGGAGAGTGTGAATTTAATGAGAGAAACAAATGCAGAGAGGGTGCCTGATCAGACTGGGGATCATTCATTCATATATATATTCATTTTATAACAGAAACCTCCATAGTTATTCATAACCATATTCTGGGGTTATACAACATATCAGCTCATACTATGCATACTACTTAAACCATACTGCACTGGTAACTATACTATATATTGGCTCACTGTAGTACTGGAACCATAGTGCACCATAGTCTTATAACTTTACTTTACACCGGCACACTCTACCACTGGAAGCATAATGTATAAACTGTATAGTCTCAATTTTTTCTGATAACTGTGCTGCATGTCTGCTCACTATACAACCAGAACCATACTGCAACATATTTTGGTAACTCTACTCTATATTGGTTCAGTATACCACTAGAACTATACTGGGTATAGGCCAGCCGTGTTGTTGCAAACATACTGCAGAGAGCCTCACTATAACCTAATGAAACTTAAGTTTTATTAATATGTACAAACGCATTATTTGGTGCGGAAACAGCAATGTTCATAATTCAATAATGAAGGCACACACCAATGCTTGCACACACATATATACTTGTCACGCCATGAGCTGTGACATTCCATTAGGAATGTAAAAAATTACACTGCTTAATGCTTAATACAGAAACTGTCTTATTAAGTAGAGAAAAGGCAATTAGCTTAATGGATACCCTTGATGGGAATGGATGAGGTATGGATAAGCTACTCGATTAGGAAGACAACTCGTACGGAAGACTGTATATATAGAAAGGAAGCCTTATACATATCCAAACAAAATAATGTATGTAGAATGCACTGAATGCTATATTTCTGGTCAAAAATTAGCCCGATATTCTGAACGTACACATGACCCATGGGGTACAGCAGTGGTGGCCTAATGGTTAGGGAAACACACTTCTGAAAGGTTGCTGGTTCAAATCCCTGGCCAGCGAAGTACTGACTGAGGTACACTGAGCAAGGTTCTGCCCCCCAGCACTGCTCCCCGCTATGTCACAATGTCACATATAGGTTAAATTCAGAGGACACATTTCAGTGTTGAGTGCTGTGGTGTAACAACGATGACAATTTTTCACTTTCACCCTTTGAGAGCATGGAGCAGAAAGAGGTCACATGACTAATGTGTCTGAAAGTTGACTAATAACATGTTGCATTATAAATTTCCATTAACCAATTTGTAGGAACATTTCAAGTAAATAAATAGCATCCAGGTCTTGGCTGGCAGGCAGGGATAGTCCACATGAAGGCAGAGCTCAGTGGGCATCTCCTGTCAGCCCCCTCATCGTAAGCGACACTCTACCTAATCCATTCCCCAATCGCGGCCCTCAGGAGTGTGGCGATTCCAACGGGATGGCTAAACAGTCCCTATCTTATATAAGCTGGCAGGGCGCCTACAAAATATGGAATCTCCCGATAAGTTGTGCTTTATCCCATTTGTTGGATTTGCAAGATCTCAAAATCCTGCTTAAGTAAAGATACCCAGAAATGTTACGTGCTTATCAGGCAGTTTGAGACATGTTAGCTTATGCTTAGCTAAGCCTAGAAGAGGGTGCACACCTGCTACGCTCATCAACTGACCAGGGGAAGTTTCACTTAAAACACTTGAACTGGTTTCAAGGCAATGGAGGTCTGCAGAAATACATCCTTATGTAGACTGAGTTCAAACAGTCGAAGAGGAGGAGAACATACGTCTTATGGAATACGGGTCTGCTTTAAGGGATTAAACCAGCTTTTTAAAACATGCGCCCGTCGCAGCCGTGCAGTAATTTACACATACGTGGGAGCTGTCCGGAAGACAGGGTGCTGATAGACACGGTACAGGTGCACCGGGATTCAGCCCATCCTTCCGTGCGTGGGGGAGAAGATCTGCAGCGATCTCCTGACACCGTTTGCGAAGCGGTGCTGTGCACACAGGACATCTTGTTATACGGCAATTTGTGCGTGATCTGTCCCCTCCGAGAACCGCGCAAAAACAGTACCAGCGTCTTCCCTCTGGTGGCCCGAGGATGTGAGACCACAAAGGAAAAAGAGGCATTTCTCACTGAATATCAAAGACAGCCGATGGATGCCCACCTTCCCAAGCAGGACGTGTGCGGGATGCAAAGTTGTAAAGTGGGCTAAGCTCACAAACAAAACCGTGTAAACGCAGTAAAAAATAAAAATAAAAAAAAACGCGTGCTTGTTGTGCCGAGCAAAAACACATTATGTTTAGAAATCGTGTGAACTGTAAAGTCTACAAAGCAGGTTGTCGCGGCGTCTTCCCGACCTCATTAAGAAATCGATGATACATCCTTTATTTCCGTGACGCACTGCTGGGGTAACAGCTTTGCTTTGCGTTATTCCGAGATGCACACACACACATATGTATATATATATATATGTATGTGTGTGTCTTTGTGTGCGTGTGTGTGTCTGTGTTTCGGGATGGAGGGGGAGTTCATAAGAGAATGAATGAGGAGAATATGATCGCTTTAAGGTTGAGAGCAGAAGGACACAGCCTGGGGATAATATGATCTACACCTTAAGGCTTTTATAAAAGCGAAAGCCTTTTACAGAACATATGTCACCAATGACCGTGGAGCGGTTTAAAAAATCACTTCGTACAAGCCCGAATCATTATAGTAAAGACTATTACACGGTGTGTAACGCATATAGTGATGTGTATGGGAGTATATTTAAAAATACGTTCTATTTAGGTTTTAAAACTAGGATGGCAGATTTACTCTACTTCAAAAAAGAAAAGAGAAGCGTTGTCCGGCTGCGCTACAGCATATATACCAGTTATAAAATAGCGTCAATGGTTCATACATATTCATAGTGTGTAACTTACCCATTTTTTTTTATAAACACACATTCCAGTTTAATTTACAAATAGATTGTCTGATTTTCTTAAACGATTATAATACAGAGGTTTTAGTTTGCTTAACATGGGACGGACTAAAATTCCTGAGCTTTATATAAGTATTGGCATTTGTTTATATAACAAGGCTCTAAGGTGTAAATACCCCATTCATGTGCTGTAATATGCCAACCCCGAGAGGCACAGTTATACAGTACATGACAACTTTCACATAGCACAGATGGCAAGGTCTGTGACTGCATTCCTTTATAGTCAGCCTCTTTGTATTCCTCTCAGGAATATAAAGCAAGCCCTTTTCCAAGACGCCTCTGTGAGGCACAGTCACATACGGCATCACTTATGAGACTAGGCAATTAGATTTTAAAAAGTGCATTTAATGATTTTCTTTTCCTACAGTCGCACCAACCTTGTTATTATCATGCTTGGGGGAATACTCCCCCACTTTAGCTGGGTATTTGTCAGAAGAAGGGCAGCCGCAAACGCAGACAAATTTCATATACAAATGGAAAATCCCTCCGGTGTTCTCTTTACCGAAGAAGACGTTAATCGACCGAGAACCATTTTTAACAACAGGTTTTCTTCAATTAATCCGAAAGAAAAACTCATAGGAGCCAAACACCAGGGGAAAACTTTTGTTTTAAATTTCACCAGAATTGAAAATGACCAGCAGTCCTTATGAAACAGGAATAAAAAGAAACACACTCATAATCGTTTAAAATATTAATTCATTATCAACTGACTGATCGTCTTGCTACATATCGTCATGGTAATAACGTAAGTGTAATGACCATCAATGAAATGAACAAGTGGTTTCTCGCTGGCGTTTCGAATGAAATATGCAGGTGTGACTGGGAGACGAAAAGCCAGCGGACAGGGAGCATTTTCAAATATGCATTTCTGATACATAACATTCACTCATCTTGCACTTACATGGAGGAGATGTTCTTGAACATATCGGGAATACTGTTGCTGCTATTCCCATTGTTCCCCGTGTCTTGCAGAGCCAGCAAAGGAAAGAATTTCCCATTATCGGACTTATTGCAATAGATCTCTGTGGGCGAACAACTGCAGCTTGGCGGACAGTCCAGCATGGAGCTCAGATAGTCCTGGAAGATGCTCAGGAGAAACAGTACCCTCCACCAGCAAATTCGGGATGGAAAGAGCGATAGATCCATGACTCCCGAGCCAGTAGAGGGTCGGTGCCCTTCTGCGGTAGTATATAAATTGTGATGTATGTATGTGTGTGTGTGTGTGTGCGTGTGCGAAAGATTAACGCCTCGGTATTAATAAGTGTTACGGTATTTAAAATTAGTCGAACGAAGCCTTCTTCCTGTATAACAGAGACCTGAAAAGTAAAAAAGAAAACCAAAATACTCCGTTAAAGAAGAGGACGGTGTGGAAAAAAATCAGTACTCCCGGTCGGCGCTCCTCTCTAGCATGGTATGGTCTTCTGCTGTCGCTTCGGTCCAGGTTGCTCTTGCGCAGCGCTGGGACTTATATGGATGATATAAGGAAGAAGGACGGGAAAGCGAGAAGTCCGTGTTCTGAACATCAAGTCCCACCTACTGGGCAGAATTAAAACTGACACACTAGCAGAACAAGAAAGGCACCCCATCAGATATGAGGAAACATCCGCAGACCACAGTTACACGCCTCTGCCTTTTATATGTCCACCGTTAAATATTTCTACGCTTTAGCATACATACGGCTGCGTGCTCGAAATTCTCCAATACCATGCAAAGGTCAAATTTTCCAATTTTCCTTCGGACCAATGCAAGAAACGTGACCCTAGCAGGAACCTGGTTTTCTTGTATCTTACTTGAAAGCGTTAGGGCAGATACAAGGGGGATCTGTAGGACATGCGTTTACACTTGTTTTGTTTTTGTGAAATCATATTAAAGTTAAATTGGCAACTCAATGGCAGCTATAACTACACAGTGGTAAAATATTAAAAAGGAGCTGGACTTGGAGCAGAGTATTGATTTTCGCATATCCTGTTTGTCAAACAAAGGAACCGAGGCTTTAAAAGAATTACAAAACAAACGAATTAGCCTATTGTGTTTAACGTCTGCCAAGCCTGGTTTTGCACACATTACAGAAATGGCCAATTTTCACTCCAGTATGTGCTGATATATGCATACAGAATTGTGAAGTTTTCCAAAAACACGTTATATGTAATTTCCATTGCGAAATAAGGAAACCCTTCGCTCTTCACTGAGATTCCATTGACTTTTCTTTCTTGTAGACATTTTGACACCAACATGGAGAATTAGGAGCCTGAACTGTAACGAGCAGTTAGTGGGATGCTTGAAGATGTCATTTATTTCCCAGTGGCAATAGATCTTGTCACTTATAAGACATCAGATTGTTTTCCTGCGTGCTGTTTTCATCCATGAAATACTCCTTAGATATCAATTACTCAATTTTCATGGAAATATTAATACAGCACGTCCACGAAAGGAGAGTCACGGTCTGGCTTGCATCCCAATCTGCTGCACCAACTACAGGCCCGACCTGCTTCTTACAGACTCGGGGACCGTACTGCCCCACCCTGTGCACAATTTCCAGGAACCTTAACACTTTAGCTTAAAACCTGCCAGAACAGAACTGTGCTACAAAACACACCTTGCAACACCTCCATGGATGGCAAGTGGAACCTTGTCTCAAGCTTCTGATACCAAATAGTAATTCCATGGCTGACAACATTAGTTATTCTCCAACCTCTGGCAACCACACCCACATTATTAACAGCCCAAAACCTCTTAACTTGACTTCTTGGGTCATAAATTTCGCTATAAAAATTGGCAATGGATATTCAAAATGCTGCAGCAGAAGATAGAGTTACTATCTGTACCGGCCTCTTTTATTTAGTTTCATTGTCTGTTGCTGTTTTTAATTGCGTTGTTGTCCCTGGAGGTGTTATATTTCATTCTCTCTCACATTTGTCTGTAATGAGAAGAATGACAATAAATTTGACCTTGTCTTTGACACAAGATTTAAATACAGATCAACTGTCTTCTTTGATCTTCATTTGAGAAATAATTTAAGAAGATTCTACAGTGTGTAGGTATCTTTGAAATAGGGGACAAAATTATCACACAGGACTAGACACTAATCGACACTTTTCCAAGATGATTTCTGTTTGTAATTTATGTCAGTTCAACAAATATGGTTTTTGCTACAGGAAGTCATGCAAGACTCTGGACAGGAGACAGCAAAAATGAGATGGTGTGAGAGAAAGAGACCCCACACATCACATGCCCAGACAGAACCACGCTTGACCACAGCTATCTCAGGCAGATATGAGGAGAAGATCTCGGGAACTTGCAAGACAAGCTGGCCTAGAGCTAAAATAAATCAAACAGTGGAACTGTGTCATCTGAGATCAACAGCGCGGGGGCGATAAAGCTGGAGTTAGCCTTCCCAGCAAATTTCCAGACCCAGGAGGGTACACAGAGATGGTTTGGTTGTTGAGGGAGATGAGAACTGGCCTATTCAGCATCTTGAGTGACACGACCAGCCAAAGAATAGCTTTCGCAGCCTGAAAAGGCTACTGCCCAATTCATCCAGGCTAAACTCATTTCTCACTTATGCATGAGAGTCAAAGCGATCTGGCCTTAGGGGTGGTAGAACGACACATGGTTAATGTCTCATCTTGGTTGCACGTTTATTTTTCACCTTTCTATTTCAAACAGCCAGCAGCCCACTGCAGAACACCATATAGCAAAGGAACATGCTGTGTGCCCAAATTAAATTTCAAATGCTAATAAGCAGGGTAAGTTTTGAGCAGAAAGACTGTTACCCGTCCTCTGTCTTTGCCATGAGCCTGTGGGCTAATCTGAGAAGCACAGGGCAGCCAGGAGATGGACTAAAGGTGATTATGAGACACCAGTTAACCTGCACTCTGTGTTTTTAAATGGTGGGAAGAATGCAGAGTCTTCACAGGAAGCCAGCACAGAAGCAGGTAGAACATGCAAACTCCACATATATGCTACTCAGTGAGACAGCATGCCACCCAAAGGTGGCGAAATTTCACCTGCATACAGTGGTGCGCTGCTGTCAGTTTAACTAATTAGTATGTGAGCACAATCACTACAGGAATCACATGACAATGGCACAATTTTTACCACTACTCCTTGTTAAACACCCAATAAAACTGGTGAGCAAGACAAATGACCAGTTATATTGGATTTCGCTATTTGTTGAAGCATAACATCCAAGGTTTTAGGATCGTTCACACATAAAACTCTCACTGACTCATTATTCTCACGGGGCTGCAGTCAGACTGACAGGATGCCAGTCCCTCACAATGCCAAATGACGCTTATTTTTATCCTTTCTGTTTAAGCGCGTAAACGTTGAAGCGAACGGTCATTTCAGTTCAGCTGGCGTATTTCAGTGCTACATGCCCTTTTTAACCCACACTCTCTGATTCCAGAGTTCAGACGTGAATGTAGACACCCTGAAAGTCAGACTGAGCACAGAACAAACTAAGGAAACATGACATTTCAGTCAAAGACTTCACTAGCCATCGTAATGATAACATGAGCAAAAGTTGTGCCATATGTTTTATTAAGCTGAATTCTACAGACAGGTTCACAGGTGAGCAATGAACAGCGAATTGCACCCCAGCAAAGCAAATAACTGGCAAATAAACAAAAATATTTTAAAACAGACGCATACAGATGCTGTAGTGTCAAATAAATTGTGTGACAATTAATCTATTAATCTATTGACAGATATTTCAACATTAGTTAGCCTGTAAAGAAGCAAGAGTTTTTTAACATGGAAATGCAAACGCTTAGGTGGACATAAAGCCTTTCATATTACAGATGAATCCCATTTATAGTAGGAAATAAAATGAAGTGCATTTTCCCAGTTAGTTTACAATCACCCAAAACATCAGTAACTTCACATAAAAGCATAATAAACTTGTTTTGTTTTTTTTGGCTCCATAACGCAAGTTGATTTTCCAGTATCATTACCGGGCTGCTTAGCTATAAATTGTACCTACTTATACTCGACTATTTTACTGGAACAATTCAGGCTAAATCTATCCCAGTAACCATCAGAGTGTCCATATTCATGTACAGATGGACAAGAAATGGTCCAGGTATGATTTTGGTTTAAAGTTCATGTACAAGTCAAAAAGGTGCTATGAACATTAACCAAACCCAGACCACACCCACCCACACTCCACACCCCCCCTC